TGAGATAACCCGACCACCCAGTAGGTGCTGGCTCCCAGGTCTTACTGAAGCATGCCAAAAAGCATCCACGACTTTATCCTGCCAGGCTTACTTAGTACTGGCAGCTGCCCCGGCACACATCGCAGCTCGCAGCTCAACACGCTTCTTGAGAGGGAGCGGATCTCGAATCTATAGGAGCGTAGATGGGGATGCTGTACAGATTACAGGGGCTCATTTGCGCTACAGTCAAGATTTCCAATAATTATGATGAATGGACATGGGTCCTTAATGGTCCTTATTAGGGAATATATTAGTGAACATATTTGGGAAGATATTAGGGACTGCACTTAACTACGAGGTGGGCCTCTATATCCACCCTTAAGGTCCCTTGGTAATGCCAATACTGACAGTAGCTCATTTCCCGAACTCCTGATGCCAAGCAAAAGGGTAAAGTATGAAACTTCTCCGGGACCTTCCTGGTGGTTACGACCTAACCCTAAACTGCCGTTTACGCAGCCAGCGGAGCCCTTCTATAGATCCTAAGACCCTAAGATACAAGAGTCCTCGTTATAGCAACCCGCAATATAAAAAGGGGGCCTTAATTCATCACTCACCGAAAACTGAAGGACATCAAACCCAGACCCCAAAAGCGATCTAAAGACCAGATCCATGGAACCACATGGGGAATTTTATAGGCGGATCTAATTCTTAGATCCACCTGGGGGGTGGGAACCGAAAGCGCAGTCCAGCGGCCACGATGTTGGGGTTCAAGTAATAGCTGGTCGCCTTAACTCAGTAGGAAGAAGGAGAATGAGAATTGCAGGGTAATGTTCAAGCAAAATTTCAAGCGAGGGAGCTCTAGCTTATGTAGGAAAACACCAAAGCCAGAACCCTCGAGCAGCAAAACCTCAGAGGCTCTGTGTAAAGAGCCTGATGATACCTTGGGACTTGGGTCTGCAGAAATCCAGACTTCTAAATCCCTGCTTCGAGATTGTGACCCGCAGCCCAAACCCCAAGCAAAGGGTGTGTGCTGCGACGTAGAGGATGAAACATGTCATGAGCGCCTCGCCAAAGCAGCGGAAACTCTATGAAGCTACTAGGTCCCAAACCACGAACCCTTCAACCTCATACCCTGGGTGAGTTGCCTCATGCAGGGTCCAGTAGGCTGGAAAGCCTGCTAACGGCTGGCTGCTAACCTGCTGAGCATTAAAGGGTTAATCAACAAATGATGCCCTGCTGGTACGGAGTTGGAAACGAAACCGGCTGTGAGAGATCCCCTATAATTCCCTCGCCGACAAACCTGCCCACCCCCTAGCAATAAACACAACACATAGCCACAAACAAAATGCGCAGGGGTGTATTTATGTTCAGTGGGTATGGGGGGCTATTAGGGACTGGTTAAAAAACAAAACGCTGCCTTCCACAGCCAAAACAATCTCTCGACCTCCTTCAATGCTCTTGAGTGAATACCCTTATATTAACCTTAAACCATAAACTTAGGAAAACTAAACCTTAAACCCTATAAACAATAGGTACCGTCACCAAAACCATAATACGAACCTACCCTACGTTGTCATGAATACTCCTGGAGCCTGAAAATTTCTAATATTCTTCCAGCGTTCTTTAGACCCCAAAATGCTTGTGCAGGCGCTTATTTCCTGACATAATGTAATTTACAATTCTCACAAGGATCCCAGCAATCCCTTTAAAACAAAACCATACGACCCTTAAAGCCTTAAAGCCCTAACGTCACCCCTGTCCTGAGACAACCCCATAAACGTTCCAGCTGAGCCGCAATCTCAAACCCTGTTGGCCCCGCAGTCTCCAGACGATACCTGGGGGTTTCCCCAAATTAGGGGTGCCTTTTTGGGGGTCCCTATGATAAGGAGTATTGTATATTAGGGCCTATATTGGGGTCCCCCTATACTTGGGTTGTTCTGCCGAGCTCGGATGGAAGGATCTAAGGAAGACCCAAGTGTTTAAAGCCTTGGGTGCAAGGTAGGCATTCTTTGAGAAACTCCCAGATGGCTGGATAACCCTAAACCCGAAACCCGAAGCCCGACCCCAAACCTAGGGCTGCAAATGGCCCAATGTAGG